TTCGCATGGATCTATAAAACATTCAACTGGACGCTGACCGGGTGGACAAGTAGATTTTCTAAAACATTTTGCTCGTCTACCATTAGCTGCGTATCATACAGCATTGCATACACCACAATAGTTAGAGACACATGTAGCATTTTTATCTCCTGGACACGTTGATACCCAGCATAGAGAAAATATATTGAAAACTATAATGATATCAGAAACTTACAGAGCATGGATTCACAACGCAATATATCATTGATTTACCAGGTGGACATCGAATTCTTGGACTTGGTATTCCAAATATTCCTATGATAACATAGCACTAAAATAAATTTTTCTAACCACTTACTCACCTTCAATCACTGATAGTGAAAGAATAACAACGACAAGATATACTACAGCTTGCATTATGTATTTGTGTTTATTTGAAATTAGAGTAATTTATCGTTTTTATACCTTATTTATAGGTTATTGCAAGCAAGATTTTTTTTTCCTCGCAAAATGATCTAGACAGTTGCAATGCATATTTAACGTCATTCAGTGCCCTATCTATCTTGTTTACGACACAGGATAAAACTTTGAAGAGAGAATATTGCATGTATCAACTGTGAAACCAACCATTTACCTTTCTTTCAATCGTAAAAAAATTACCTTTATGTAAAAGAATTGTTTGTTGGCTTTGACAATAATACCTCTATTTTTATCCATTTAAATAGCATATTAAATGTTTGTCTCTTTCGTTCTGGCTTCTTTTTTTCTTTAGCTGGGTCATTACCAACAAGAACAAAATTACTAATGTTGTTTTTTCAATAACTTTTTTAATAACATCATTATAACGATGCACAAGAAAAAAACACATAGAACAAGTAAAACAAAAAAGTAGTCCATGTTAGTTCTATTTACATATTCAGCATAGACATGTAGGTCAGCACATCGATATCAATATGATGAGAGAGATAATAGATAGAACTTATTAACAATGTATCTTTTTCAAGTTATTGTTTGATTACTTCAACAGTACAGAGAAGCGTAAAATGTAAACACATATCCAGTGCTACAGTAAAATGTGTTATGGCTCGAATAGAATCAAAGATTATGTATTTCAAAAAAATAAGAAGTGATAAAATGCTTTTTCATATGTACAACATTGAACTGTTATTGTTGAACTCGCGTAGCAGCTACTGTTGCAGTTGGTTGCTCTTCAACTTGTTGGCTAATTTTTGTTGAGCGATGGCGTATCAAAAAACTCAGTTTCAAAAATTCTTCAAACACATAAAAACATGTATCGCACTTTTCTTTTCATGTGCTTGGTAGACATAAACCTAGTGATATGTCCATATCACATGACTTTTCTTCGATAAACAGCCACTTGAACTCTTCCATGAGTTGCATGGACATTCTAACTAGCTCTTCACTTGAACTCATGAAAGCCACAAGAATGAGCACACTTGAAACAATCGATTATAATAAAATAATAGAAGGTTTTCTATTCAAGCTGAATGAATGCTCGTTTTCATTGACAACGTCTGAATTTGCAGCATGATTCACTTATTTGTGCTAGTTTTCTTTAACTCACTGTATCTCAGCAAAATGTCTGATGTTGTATTTTTATATGATTGAAGAGAGCATTCATTTTTTTTTATCTAACCATATAGTTTTTATTTGGTTTAGTTATCATCGTAAGAAAAAAAAATTAATAAATTTTAACAGTTGTGAAAAAAAAGACTTTTAATTTTTTTTTGCATGTATTTCTTTGATTTTTCTAAACTATTTCTCATTATCGCAGGAGATAAATCGTTTTCATTGAAATAATGTTTTATAGAGTGTTCATTTTTTTCGATCAAATAATATTGTCTGAGTCCAGTTTAGTTGAGCGTTTGTAATGAATTTTATATTCTATTATAAGAAGAAAAACCTGTATTTTTTTATTTTTCAAGAAAAAAACGTCAGTGGTTAAAATTTAAATTGAAGTTTCTCGATAACCACCAGATGATGTCATGTCATATTTTTTTACAGCTAACATTTTGATGATGCTCTGCGATTGTAAACCACTAAGGAAAACACAAGATTCACATTTATTGAAATATTTTAGTCTGTATAAACTTCAGTATTACAAAAGTGTTTTTAATCAATTTTTGAATTCATTAATTTTTTTGGTCACGATCATCACTAAATTAGATACAAAGTATATGATTAGATAGAAAATGAGTGGTCTATTCGATCATAAAAATCACATAGACTCTCTTTATTGACATGTTTGTTACAGACTGTTATTTAAGTTCTGAATTTCTATTAAGAGCTGAATTGTTTCGAATCTAAAACTGTAGAAAAAAAATCCAAAATGCTTGTATAAAATATGCTCAAAATTAGTTTTACAAATCACAGATATAATTTGTATAGTTATGACAGATGGCTAGAGTTAATAGGGTATTACTATCGCTAGCTTGTGATAGAAACGGATTTTTGTTGTTGATTTGTGCAGCTCTTACTATTTTACATCAAGTATCTTCTTTGTAATCATTCTTACACGCGTGTGAAGAAGAAGCGGAAGTACCTGAAATTGCCAAAAGGGCCTCAAGTCTTGTCTAAAGATTTGTGCATATCATATGACTTGCTTTCTCAAGATATTCAAAAACTTTGTGAGCATGAAGAAAGTTGCACTAGGAAAACTTTTAAAATATTTTAATTCTATCATCCTAACGGCGTACCAGTTCCAATTTACGAACATATTAAAAAACAGCTAATATGAAACATTAGCCTATTGAAAATCCGTTTCTTTTTTTAAACAGATATTGTAGAATCACTTCAATGCTCTTGGTACAGCATTATACGAGAGACACGTTTCCAGTTTTAGGGCCTAATGGACACAATGCACTTTAATATGAGTTCAATATGAAGAGATCTTTCTAAAATAGGAACATACTCGATAAAATCTTCTTATGTATTAATTAAAAGGCCTTTTTGCCTTTCCACTTTCTTTTAGAAATTCAGAGACGTTTTTTTTTTTAAATCGTAAAACAATACATTCATATTAAGACAAACATGTCTTCAGGTACAGACGTTAAAATTTGTTTTACAAAGCATTTATTCTGAACTTGAGAACATACTTTTTTTAGCAAAAAGATTCAAAGACTTTTCTCGAAACACACCAAAAAACACTGAATGTGTACAAAATAACTGTTTTTATTTAAACAATTTCTTTTTAGACAAATATACTCATTAAAATTGATGTTATATCTCCTTCCGAACGATTTCTTACTATACTATCCAAAACTCAACATAAGCAACTGACTTACACAAGTTTAATAAAAAAATTCTTTTCATTTGTTAAGTTCTTTATTTATTGAGGAGGTTAAATGCTGCCAGTGATAGATATTGTTCTTTAGAAAAGGAACTACTGTTAGACATTGTATCAATATGTTACAATATATTGATTGTATTGCTCGAGCAACCCTTTTTTAGCAATGATTGTCTCCCTTGGTTTCACAGGATATTATCTGTGTCTTTCTCATTCTATGCACATAAGATAAGTGAAATTAACTCGCCGACTAACGATGTATTGAACAGAAAATGAAAGTAAAGTAAGAATTGTTGGTTAGACTATAAAAAAAGCATCACTTCTTTTTAGGGACTTATCAGAAGTCGGTCCTTGTAACTTAAGAACGATAAGACAAAATGCAAGGCTTCGTGTCTTCATATGTGTTGCGAACTTTAGATCGTTTTTCAAAAAAAATAATTTTCTAGATAGAGTTTACTTATTCAAGTGTACTATTTCTTCTTTGTTAAATCATAGTTTCTTAAAATCAACAAATGAATGTAAAAATGAGTTAACACTCATTGCATAAACTACACACAAAAATATAACCAATAAAAAAGCTTTCGTTTTATGATACATTGAATTTTAATGAGTGAAAAGTAGTAAAAAAAAATGATATGAAATAGGAATGACACTTGATAATCTCATATTACGGCTACATAAAATAAGTAGCTGCTCATGTATCATAATCGAATTGTTTCCACACCATATTTATAGTCAACTGATTGATTCAGTTCATCTCCTATCGACAAAAGCTTTCCCAAACATGCTAACTTCGAATATGCTACCGAAAGTTTTGTGAAAGAAATATTCATAGTAAGTGTCTTGACGTCCACAAATGTTTCACCTGCTTTCATCTCTCTGTCCAGATTTGTCCCTTTTTGATAGACTGCTCAACTCCTTACTTTACCTGGTCGTGTTGTATTGATAGCCTCTTAGTTAAATAGTTGCAATCAGCAACAGCAGATGAGATTAAATCTCTAGCCGACAAGCTGTTGGAAAAACGTGCTTAACAGCTACAACGGGAGCCGCGATTGAACATTGCGCACACCAATAAAAAAATGCAAACAACAAGCTACGTTCCACTAAAAAGATTTGAAAAAAGATATTTTTGTCAAAAAAATATTTAGAAAATTGCTTTCCTTTAATTTTGTGACGTCTATTACACGAAAAACAGTCGATATCGTTGAAAAAACGTCCAAAATTAAGGAAAAATAATATTTTTAGGCATTTTTTTGGGGGAAAGTTTCTTTTTCAAGCATTGTCGTATGTTTTTAGTGGAAAGTAGCTTCTAGTTTGCATTTATTTTATTCGACGTACGCAATGACCAATCGTGGTTTCCATTGTAACTCTTAAACACATTTTCCCAAAAGTTTGTCTGCATGGGATAACGTGAACTTCAAATAGATAAAAAGTATTCAATGTTGAAGTGCAATAAAACTGGTTTCATTATTTAGGTGAAGAGATACATCTATATTCAAAAATTTAAATCAGTTTTATATGACGACTGGATTCAATTGTTTTGCCATGGAAAATGATCTTGAATTAAACTAAGACATTTAGATTTGCACGAATTTATGTATCGAGCATTTTGTCTTAATAAACTGAGAAAGTTATTATTTTTCATCCTTGAAACATTGTTCTTTTATTGAAAAAAATTAAAACAAAAACAGAAAATATAGAATGATGAAAATAGTTAACTAGTAGTTTCACATTGTACTTGTTTTCCACTATCTGTGAACCATTCAGTATTACAACCTCCACAATAGTTCGCGACACATGTAGCGTTAGGATATGCTGAACATGTTGCTCCCTATTCAAAGGTATTTATAAATATGAAGGCATATAAATTAGTCATTGTAGCTTACTTGACATGGATTTACCAAGCAATTTACGATTGGTTCACCACCAGGACATTGACTCTTTCCAGCTGGCATTCCCAGTATATCTATAATAACATCATAATAAAGTAAACTTTTCTAATAACTTACTCACCACTCATTACTAATGCTGAAAGAATCACAATTAGAAGATATGCTTTAATTTGCATTATGTCTTTGTATTTTGTTGAAAGTAGAATAATTTTATCGTTTGTACACTTCGTATTTATAGATGTCTATAAGCGAGCTACTCATCCTCCTTCATAAAAGTGACTGTAATGGTTGTCATGTATATCCATCATCATTCTGACGTAGTCTACCTTATGCATGACTTACGATAAAAATTTGTAGAACGAACATCATGTCTAACGAATACGACATCAGATTTTTACCTTTCTTCGATTCATAAAAACACTTCCCTTTTTCTAAAAATAATCTTTCGAAAATTTCATAATAATATTTCTGTTTATATGCACATGAGAATAATATTGTATGTTTGCCTCTTTAGTGCAAACATCGCTAACAATAGCACCAGCGCCCACTGATGTTTTTTTTGCTAGTTTCTTTATCAATATCACTATCACAACGCTCAAAAAAATGATAAATGACGATAAATTTAAAAACAGACCAAGAAGAAAAAAATAATTCGTTCAAGTTCTTTACACATACACACGTAGATCTGCACATAAATATAGATATGCATAGACAAACAATAGAAAGAACTTATTAATTCTATGGATTTTTTAAGTAACTGTTTGATTATTTTAACAGCAGAGACAAGAAAAAATGTATACACATGCCTGTTGCTACAATGTGATATGTTATATCACGGGTAGAACGAGAGATTATTTATTTCAAAAAGCAGAAAATGGAAGGTACGATTTCATATGTACAGCATTGAACTACTGTTGTGGAACTTGTTGACTAACTTTGAGTGAACGAAGAAGTATCAAAATATGAGGTTGTAAAAATATATCAAACAAATAAAATCCTTCAATACATTAGAAGAATCCCCTGGAACAAATGACACAGAAGACGCTATATCAGACTCTCTTAGAATCGATTTTGTTCCGTATGTATGTTCATAATAATATTTGAGTTTATTATGAATAATATTATGCTTCTCTCGTCGTAACTATGTGGAAAGCCATAGCAGAATTTATCACAAGAAGAATTATAGAAGTTTTCGCTAATTGGTTCAGTTATCTTAGTACATTTGTTTGTTTCAGTATATGCTCTTATTTATGCTTCCGAATCAAAATTCTCTTCAGAGTTTAGTTGTTCCAGCAGAATTATGTTCCATCATGTAAAATTATTTGTAGATCTAGATTGAGTTTTGATTGTATACCACAGTAGTGCATCATCATATATAACTATTATTATTGTATTTGAAATATATAATCTGGCTAGAAACATTCATTTTCCAACAGTATTTCGCTTACATTACTTTGCATTTTATGTCAGAAAGTAAATATGAGACTTCTGTTGAACAAGTCTATTTCATATAACACATTGACAGTAAGATAACTTCCCTTAATATTTTGAGAAATAAAAGATAGAAGAAAATCATGCATTCTACAGTATTGTAATGAAATTTTTGTCACAGTAAAATGATCATTGAAACCAAAAAGGATCAACCGGCTAATGGTGCAACGGACAAAAAGAATACATATTGTGCAAAGTCATCGATTCAATTACTTTCGTGATTTCGCATCATTTTCATTTCACGACTTTGACTCTTTGAAAATGATAAGATTCAGTACATTACTTTCATTTTCTTGCATCATTGTCATCTTATGGATTTGATTCTTTTGTCCTTAAAAAAATCAAAACCTCCTTCGTCCGCTTTTTCGTGCAACATGAATCGTTAATTCTAATAATCTAAATGAATGCCACTTCAAATAGATATCGTGTAATATAGACTTTATAGTAGTTCTCCATGAAGTCTCTCGAAGAACAATGAATCTAGAGTTTAAGAAAAGTTCAGATAAATTATTTCATATTTTTTCGTGACACGAATTTAATGAACATTTAAAATCTTTAATGCTCCAATTTCAATGTAATTTTAATCATTTTGCATACCATCATTTCCATTTAAAATCCATTATTTTTATGAATGATTTCCTTGTAGCATTGTTCCGTTTATGACATACATTTATCTTTGTATCTAAATCAAAATTCTGCTTAGACTTTTGTTTTTTTTTATCAGAATTATTGTGCACAAAACTCACTTATTTCTACAGAATTTTATTAGAAATATAATGCCATCATTAACAAGTTTTATGAAAATTTAAATTAATATATCTAACACATTCAGTTTCTTCAATCTTAATTTGATCTGATATTTCATGAAGTTGTTTACAAAGTTCATATAATTTAATTGAATATTAAGTTTCATTTAACTTCAAACTGATAGTTTTTGAAACAGTTTGATGACGACTTCCTGAATATGCATTATCAAAATATGGTTTACATTTTCGTTTTTCATCTGAGAAACAAATCTTCGTAATTCATGTAATTTGTTTGTACTTCTTTCTTATTGAGCTTATATATTTGATATTTAAGAATATATTAAAATCAATTGTAACTGTTTCTTGTTCATTATCATATACTGGAAGATAATTATTAGAAATTTTTATATATTTATGAATTTAAGCATACTATGTTAAAGTTTGCCATGAAGATGAGCATTAGTAATTTGAATTACTTATCTGCTCCATTTGGAAAACTTGCCGATGATCAACAAATATATATCATTTATCTTTGACGTGATCAGTTGATATTCAATTAATAAAAATAATAGTTATATATAATGCAGCACAATGCTGCTATCAAATCAAAACTCTATTGGAAAAACAAAATTCTAAGCGAAATCGCGATCAAGATGTGAGGATAAGTATAGACGTTGAGACACAATTTTGTTGTGGTGAACAGAAATCGTAGTAGAATCATTATTGTTTTGCTACAGTATTATGAGAATTACGTTAATATGACTAGAATGTGGATGTCGCTAATGATAAATATATTTACAATATAGAACTCTTAAATTCTGCTTGTGAAAATTTTATCACGTCTTAAAATGTAACCTATTTCAAAGTTTTTCTTTCTTAGATAAATTCGATTTTAATGAGTAGAAAACAATCAAAATAAAAAATTGAAATTTGATGGCAATGGGATTCGCAAATGTCATATAAATGATTCACAAATATATTATTTGCTTGTGTAGTATCATATTCAATTATGTCAATGGTGTATTCACGTTTAACTGATTAATTTAGTTCGCGTTCTACGCAAAAATACTCTTTAAAATAAGCTAGCCTTGAAGATTTCACCATGTTTTGTGTGAAGAAAAGAAAGAAAAATCTTCATAGTAAGTGTGTCCACATCCAAAATTGTTTGACACTCTTTCCTTTTGCTGAACGTCCTTCATCAGTCATCACTTAGCTGCACAACTAAAACTATCAATAGTAGCAGGAATAAAATCGAATGGTTTCAATGAAGAAATCCATAAATAATCAACAATTGAAATCAATTTCATATAACAATCAAATTTATTGTTTTTCAATAGATAACGATCTTGAATGGTACGAAGATATTTTCATTCAGGTAAACATATATATCGAGCATTTAGTTTTGATACACTGATCACATCGCTATTTTTTTGTTTGTGTCATAATGCTTGTTTATTCAAAAAAAAATTATAAGAAAAAAAAAATACATCTATTTTGAAAATAGTTAACTAGTGGTTGTACATTGTACTTGTTGTCCATCACATCTGAACCATTCAGCCTTACAGCCTCCACAATAGTTCGAGACACATGTAGCATCAGGATATCTTGGACATGTTGCGCCCTGTGGAAAAATATTCATGAAATAGAAGACACAAAAAGCTAGTGATTGTAGCTTACTTGACATGGATCTCTAAAACATTTCACTATCCTTTGACCGGGTGGACATCTAGTTTTTGTAAAACATCTTGCTCTTCTACCATCAGGTCTGTACCACACAGCATAGCATCCGCCACAATAGTAAGAGACGCATTTGGCGTTTTTATCTTCTGGACATGTTGATGTCTAGAAATAATAAAATATATTGAAATCTATTACGATATGAAAAAACTCACAGAGCATGGATCCACAAGGCAAGCTGCACGGGGCCTACCCGGTGGACATCGAACGGTTGGAATTGTTAATCCAAATATACCTATAACAATATGATAGTAAAATAAACATTTCTAACAAACTACTAACCTCCGATTATTAACGTTGAAACAATAACAGCGACAAGATATACCGTAGATTTCATTATATCTTTAGATTTGCTTGTGAATAGAATAATTCATTGCTTTTACACTCCGTATTTATAGGTTTTCATAAGCAAGGTTATTGTTCTCCGTTGAAAAAATAGCTTTAATAGTGGTGGTGCAGAATTGACGTCATTCACTACGTAATCTGTATCGCGTACGATACAGGATAAGTGTGAAGAGCGAACATCACATGTATTGAATCCAAAGCTAGGTTTTTGTCTTTCTTTCAATCATTAAAATAAAGATTATCTTTGCCTAAAAGTATTGTTTTGTATCGTTGACAATAATACTTTTATTTTTATCCATTTAAATAGCATATTGTATGTTTATCTCTTTCGTTCTAGCTTGTCTTTTTCTTTAGTTCGAACATTACTAATATAAACACTATTACGCACTTTGTCTTTTTAAATAGTTTTTCATTAACATCATTATGACGACGCACAAAAAAAAAGACATGACGAGATTTTTAAGAACAATAAACATGACAAAAAGAAAAAAAAAGAAAATAATTCATATCAGTTTTATACACACACACACATATATTGGAAAGATACTCGTTGATCTGCAGATAAATATAGATATGAACAGAGAGACAATGAAAAGAACTCATTCATGATGTATAATTATTAAGTAATCATTTAGTTATTTCAGGAGGACAGACAAGAGTAAAATGTACACACATGCCCAATGCTACAATGTGGTATGTTATGTCACGGGTAGAACGAGAGATTATCTATTTCAAAAAAAAAAAGAAAAGAAAAGAGAAAATGTTATTTCATATGTACAGCACTGAACTGTTGTTGTTGAGCATGAACAGCAGCTGCTGCAGCTCGTTGTTGTTGAACTTGTTGACTAACTTTTAGTGAACGGCGAAATATCAAAATATGAGGTTCTAAAAATATATCAAACAAATTTCTTCTCGATTTTATTCAATAATTAGTGTTTATTATTAACCTGGCTCATGAATCATAAAATGAACCCAACCGAGAGATTGTTGAACACCAAGATGTCGCCATTCATGTTCTGTTAATAGTCGACCTTTAGGTACTTTCTTAGCAATTTCCTTGGGCAAAATAACATGACGATATTCGTACATTTCCTAAATAGAATAAATAGTTCAAAGATAAAAAGAAACAAATATAAATCATACATCTTTGTAAGTGTCTGAATAGTAAATCTGTTCTTTTTGAGATTCTTTTTCTTTTTGAATAGGATCTTTAGCAGCCATTGCTAACGGCGAAATAAAATTAGAAAAAGCAGAATAATGTGTAAACGACGACAAATGAGAATATATCTTTTTTCTCAATCTAAAATAAATTAAATAATTCTCTTTAGCTTTTTTTTTGTTATAACATATAAAGAAAAGAAAATATTTGATCGGATTATGATTTTCAATGAACAAATGAAATTAAACGAAAAAAAAAAAAAGTTAAATTCACAAAAATTATCTATTCATCACAATGATGACTAGCAAAGCCTGATTCTTGTGATTGACTATTATTATCATCAATATTATCATTTATATTTTTGTAAGGATTAACACTCAGTCGAAATCCATTATTAATATTTTCGCCATGTCTAATCATATTCTTTGTTGTATTTGTTGAATCATCAAGTAGATGCTTTGTTGACATATGTGCTGTTGGGAAATAAGTATTTTGTTGTTGCATAGCTGGATCTGATTCAACACGATATTTTAATAAACGACGAAACATAAGTACGAATGGTTCTATTAGAGAATGAGATAAAAGAATTATTTTAGAATGAAGAGATTTTACCAGGCTTATGAATGAGATAATGTTCCCAATGAGGTCCTTGTTGAATTCCTAATGCACGCCATTCACATTCATCCATAAGATGAGTTTTTGGAATTAATGCTAACATATTTTTATCCAAAATAACATGTCGATATTGATAAGTATGATCTTCATCTATAAAATAAATGAATATTATATATGAATTACAAACGATTTTCGTAACATACAAGTTGATGAATAACGAGGTGGCTTCTGTGTTTGATCATATGGCATGATGTTAATAATAATCTACAACCAAGAAAAATAATATTATATTCAATCAACAATAAAAATCCATTAGAGCATGTTTTTTAATTTTTTGAAAAAAACAAATTCTTTGTACAAAGAAAATGTTTTCTTCAACAATATTTCTTTAAATGTTTGTGATGGTATGTTAAGCATTTCATAAAACTTTCTGCGTTCATCATCTCATTCTAAATCAACATAATCATCTTGTTTAACAATAACTATTCTAAGACAACGAACAAAATTAATTGATAATTTACTTTTTTTTCATTTTCATCAGTAATAAATAATAAACATCAACAACAATTACCCATGATGTCATCATTAATATTGTATATTGAAATAAATCATGCTTTGACAGGATAAATAAGAATTTCAATTTTTTGTTTTAAAAAACAAAAGCTGTTTTTAAACATCATTATGAATGTATTATTTATACAAGTACTTTCAGAAAATATTAATATTAATAAATTATTTAGATTTTTCCAGCAACTATATAACGGTCTTTAACTTCTCAACGATCAAATCATATATAACTTACTGTTTGTAATACTGTCTTTTTGTATGAAACCAACAAATCCATTATGTTATTGTTTAATTATTAAAAAATTATCATCAATTGGCAATTTATATAAAATTCAAAATATAATTTTGCATTATGTATTACAAAATATTTGAAAAATATAATTGAATCCAACATCCAGACATGACAATAAAAATACCTAACATACAATAAACTATAGTCATGTAACACGTAATGAAAACAATTCATGTTCTCATTGAATACATATTAATAGTATCCACAGAGGTAAATATTCAGTAGATATAAAACGATTTATGTTTTCATCGTATATAATTACTCAAAGACCTTGTCGAATGTAATATATGATATTAATTAATATAAATATAATTCAATTACAAAAATAGTCAAGTTGAAAAAAAAACTATTTCGAAAAATCGGAATGTCTTGTTGAGAATTTCTTAATTAGCTCCGGTAAAAAAAATCGATATCTTGGATATGAAAATTTTATTTGATCACGAACAGTGCATTGCTATTTAATTAAGTTAAGAAACTTAAAAATTTTTATTTTTTCTTCTTATCTGTTTGGTCGTTGACCATTTTTTTGTTCTATTTTACTACTCTCTAACAGGAAACACTTCATAAAACATTTTGTTATAATTTAAAACTTTTATGTAATTTAGCTCATAGGCTCCATTCTATCATAGTTGAATATACACTCGATCGCTTAGATCTTTACTGAAGACGTTTTGAAGAAGATCTTATTATACGTTCAGATATGTTGATTTTTACTCATCATTAAGCTCTAGATCGGTCTCTTTAATGTGGCAGATATGAGTTTGAATGTACCGCAGAGTTGATTGTTTAGCGAACGATATGTTCATGGTTTTGAATTTTGATTTTGTTTTTGTTTTTGTTTTCGATTATCTTTTCATTTTTTATTTGCTCTAATATGTAATCTTGTACGTTTCCTTTTCATGTATTCGGTCTTCAAGTAGTTAAAAAATGAGTGAGTATTTCGCACCATAAATTATTCTGTAAAAGGAAATTTTCATCGTTCAAAAAAAAAAAAAACATCTTTCTAAAATTTTTATGATTTAAATTAAAAACTCTTACTTAATTTAAACTGAATATCAGTTTGTGATAATGTTCTCAATATTCTTTGATATTGACCGATTATTATTCTTTATAAATTTTCAAATTTATCATTGATTACTTCATCTTCTTCTTTCGATACACTAAGAATTGATATATTTGAACGATATTCACCTCGATCATCTAATGAATTTTTAACAATAAATAGTTCTATTTGTGGCGTTAATATTTTATTTTAGTTTTTTAATTCTTGTTGCATAATCAAATACAAATATAAGTACTCTAAAATTTCTATATCAAGTAACATATAAAATGCTCATAATGTAACAACAAAAACAGGTAGACTAATAATGATAATAAACATAGAAGATTTCTAATTGCAAAAATTTGTCTTGTAGTTGCCATAATATTGTTTCAAATCATAATATGAGATAAACAATCACAACAAAAAGTTAAATATTAATTTTAGATTTATCTTTTTTAATGAGTTGATTATCTTCGATTTGTTTTGAGAATTTTCTTTTTTTACGATGACACATACCTAAATCTTAAATTGACCATTATATTCATAATAACATTAACTAACGAAAATAAACGGTAGAACTGTTATGTTCGTTTTTCTTTTCTCTCGAATATGTTATATATATGTCATTCACTTTTTTCTATATAGAACATCGTCGTCTTCACTAGCTAAAGGACAAACATACAACAATAACTGACTGATTATCTAATATAATAAATCCCTCGATTTTGAATAGACAAAATGTACTGCATATTTATAAAAACTTATTCGAAATCAAAAGTACTATTAGAACGATCATATTATCATAGGCCACAATTATTTTATTTACTTTCATATCTATAAAATATTTCGTAATATATTTCGTTTCAGAAACATTCTGACATTGAATAAAATATAGCAAGAAAAAAGTAAGTGCATAATTATAGCAACACAAAAGCAAAACAATAAAAACAGGTTACACAATGATCACATATTTGCGTTTTTTTTTGTGCTTGTACTAAAGTCATCCGAATACATATCATATCACAAAAGAAAGAATTAATACATATAACTGGAGATTATAATTCAAGGGAGTCAGAAAGAAAAAACTCAAAATTTATTTTAAGCCATCGAATTTCCATTTTGTTCATTGTTATTGATATTTTCATCAATGGAGGAAGTCATAGCTTGTAACATTTTTTCTTCTTGTTCACTTAATAATTTATTAATAGTCGACGATGTAGGAATACTATGAAGTGCTAATCTACAACAACGAAAAAACAAAAATATCTTCTATTTTTATCTACAAAACTTACTTATGTAATAAAAACATAGCTGCAGCAGCTAGACTCAAAAAAAATACACAACTCATAAAGATAATTTTTAAATGAAAATCCTATAATAAATAAAAAAAAAAAACTTTATTGTTTTTGTTTTTAAAATATCACTAACTTTGAGAAGTATCACAACAACGATGAAATTTAATGGAATGCGAAAATAATTCATAACAGTAGCACGAGCTAGATAAATTAGAAATAATAAATTTTAATTGATAAAAAATAAATTTTTTTTTTTTGTATTGAAACAAACCTTCTTCAGATATATATTTACTTCTCATTGTTGCCATTGCTCTTAAAACAAATAATATTAAAATTAAAATTTATTTATTATGAAATAAACTTACGGCCAAAATATACCAATACAAAATTCGAAGATTAAAAATGAAATAAACATTATTACTTGATTCTATTAAATAAAATAAATTATGTTTTCTTTATATTTAAGAAAAACTTTTGATATGATTTTGATTTACTCCGGGTAAGAAAACTGGTACACTTAAACAAAATGCCGAGACTATAATAATATATCTAAATAATAAATTAATTAAATAAATATAAACAAAACAAAATAAAAAAAAAAAAATTCTTTAACCTCATAAATGATTCTGGTGTTGTATAATTACAAAAAACTTTAAATGAATTTGATCCCATCATCATTGCTACCATATAACTTGCAAAAACATATCCTAAAATATAATATTAATATTGTTATTTTACATTATAAATATTTTAGTCTTATTCAAACCATGTGAAATTGGTGGATTTTTACTATCTGTTTTATCAATAGATTCTTTATTTAATGCTTGAGTTAATGCTGGTGTCCATTCAAGTATAAATACATACATTGATGCTTCAAAAAGTGCTTGTACAATACCCAAAAGAAAGATTTTTCGATCTTGACAAAAAAAAAGAAAGAAAATGAAAACAAAATAAATAAATATTGATTTGTTATTTTATTTTATCAAATACCAGATTTAATCGATTTCCAAGCTGATAAAAATGATTGAGAAACAGGTGCATTAGCATCACCATAATTTTCTGACCATGTTGTTGCCAATAAAAAACACATTGCAATAAATACAAATATTGCCGTATCAAAAGGAGCTCTAAATAATAAACATCGATTATTAGATCTTTTTCAAAAAATCAAAAATCGTATTGAATTAAAACATAATAAAGTTTTGTTTATATAAGAGCTTCAATTAAGACATACGCATTTTTATACTAAGCCAATGATTTGTAAGTCTCTCATTATTGATTATTAGAGACGTGAAATTTCAATTTACTGACCATAGACTTAGTGTAGTTAGTATACAATAGCACCAGTGTTCACGAAAGCACTAGAACATCTTTAGAAGCATAAGCTGGTGCATTGATTGACAACAGCGGTTTAAATTTTTAAATAAAAACAACAGAAAATGATGATCGAGAACTGATTGATATTTTGGGCAATGACAACAGCGCGACTAAATCGCTTGAGCACTAGTGTTGGTAATTGACGAGAGAATCTCTTCAGTTGTCCTTTTATCAATTTCAATGACTTGTTGCTTGTAGATACGATATAATCATTTAATAAAAACTTTAAAAACATGTGGATCGAACCATACTTTGACATTCTTAATGAAATTTTCTAATTGAAATTATTATTTTATAATTACTTACACATATCCAAATGTATTTGCAGCAAGTTGAGCAATAATTCCTGATAATATAGCTACGATTGAATTACCAAAATAAGCATTTGCAAAAATTATTCCTAATGTATCAGATTCAAAATTTCTCTGGAAAAAAAAATATATATATACGTACATACATTTCATAATTAATAAAAAGAATTATTTATATATTTTAATTTAATCTACATACATGTCGATGTTCACTAACTAACCATGATTCAAATGCACTAAATAATATTGATGTTGCCATACCAGCAAGTAATCTTCCAACAAATAATATTTGAAAATTTGGAAAATGCTAAAAGTTTTAAAAAAAAATCCTAAGATATTCATTATATAACTTTTCTTATATTAAC